TCAAAAAGCTCCTATAAGTTTGCCATTAACATGGCATCCGTTAATGTTTCTATTCGCATTAAAGTCTGCAGTGCGTTTGAATTTCATTTTCACAAGCTAAAAGAGCAACACTTGAAGCTCTTTTCAAAAATAAAATTCTGATTTACTCTTTTTAATCAGCAGACTTTGTTTCCCTTAGATGTTTCATTTAAAATTTGGTTGTAGTTCGCCTTCCGGAGCCCTCTAACTGTAAGTGCAAGGTCATTAGATTTTAAGGTCTCCGATTTTACGTCCTTCTCCGTCACATACCTGGATTCGAACAGAAGGGCATCGCTCAGAGAGAAATAGCGAAAATAGCTTAGCAAATGGAACACCTTCATTAATGCTGTGCTCTCATCAAATCCAGACAAAGGCAGACTAGGAAACTAACGTGGAAAAGAATTCTTTTCATCTATGTTTATCACTGCAAAGACTAGTTCGTTATTACGGGCATTGCTGAGCTCTGTTTTTACAATGATAAGGGAATATTTCAAGTCAACAGGTACAGATATGTATAAAAGTGGGCTGGTTTATACATATGGTTGGATCACTGTTTTCTACGATTTTTAGTGAGTCTGAAATACATTTTCCCACCTCAAACAAAAGGTAAAAGTGTATAGATGCATGCTGTGTCGAAGTTTTGCCTCTCAAAAATAATATTTGATACACGAGACACATTGTCCAAAGTCATCCCTCTTCGTCCGAAGTTTCCCTCATGTTTGTCCCATGTCTCCCGCAGAGTGAGGTGGTTTCGGACATCTTAGGGTACCTTACATATGATAATCTGGCAGTAAAACGTGACGATGCACAAAGCTGATGTCGCCAGTGGTGATGCCCAAACGGCTTACAATAATGGAGAAACTTCCTTCTTTTGCTTAAAGTGTTCCGGAAGCGAGCAGTGGAGCCAAACATAAAAAGTGTCTGAAGCCTCCCTGCTCTCCCCTAATATTGCAGTAACATAGTAATATGTAATATGTAAATATCGTAGTAGCATTGTAATATGTAATAAAGTAAAATTGTAGTAACAGTAATATGTAATATATAAATATCGCAGTAACATAGTAATATGTAATATGTAAATATCGTAGTAGCATAGTAATATGTAATATAGTAAGATTGTAGTAACATAGTAATGTATTTTAATAATATCGCAGTAACATAGTTATATAATGTAATATAGTCAAATTGTAGTGACAGTAATATGTAATATAGTAAAAACGCAGAAACATAGTAATATGTGCAGCTTTTTTGGACCCGTGTTCTTTACTCTATATACACAGCCCTTAGCAAGCATTTTACGAAATCATGGATTGAAAAATGGCACCATTCAAGATCTGCCAAACATGATTTCTATAACTAAACAAACACCCCCCCCCCCCCCCCAAATAGACCCACCTCTTCGTGGGGGGGGGGGGGGGGGGGATTAGTATTCTTCAAATGGGAAAAGAAAAAGAGGAAGCTAATGGGTCAAGGGGTGACCTCGAAAAGAGACATATTACTTTACTATGTATCTTACTCTTTCTATTTATTGTTTTTATTGTTTTACTTTACTACATTTCATTATTATTATTCTCATTATTATTATCAATTTTCTTTTCTCCTGTCTCCATCGACAATCTTTCTTTAACCAGGAGTTGGGACGGGTATTGGTGCGGTGGGAAGCAGAGGTTCATTGTCAGCACTGTACTGGATGTGACTTTACGTTGGGAATACCCAGCTACATACATGTATTAAGCATGCATTTATCGGAGAGCCCTATGACTGCGGAGAAGGTGCAGAGACCATTTGCGTCTTGCTTGTTGACAACATTAACCCTCTCGGACCTGCCATGCCTTCCTCTGCCCCCATCTCTGGGATGAGAGGATTTGGTTGCTCTGGGGAGGGGGGGGGGGGGGAATCTAGCTTCCAATTGGCATTATTATTATTATTATTATTATTATTATTACTATTATTATTATTATTATTATATTATAATTTTTGTATTTCAGCAACACAGAGCAACACACAGAAACTATGCTCTTAATAGCGTCTTTCTCTTCTTTATCTCCTCAAACAACTTCTCAATATATAATACAACAGACACCAACATACCCATTCATTTTTCTTATGATCTCTCGATGATGGAGTTGGGTTTTTGTTTGTAGCCTTGCACCTACAGCCACTGCTTTATCTCCTACCCCGGGATGGAAGGAAAATCAAAGAACCACCAGTTTTAGATGCTATTCACAACTTCACTAAACAATGTTTTAATGAAATTAAAAAATGGATGACAGTAAACAAATTGAAACTAAACGAAGAAAAGACAGACATCATACTTATAAATAATCCACGATTAAATAATGATTTGGAAAGTGTCAACATTGATTTATATGGGCATATGACATCTAGTAAAGAAGTTGTCAATAATCTTGGTGTATATATTGACCACCACTTATCAATGGGTTTGTTTGTAGGATCTCTGTCCAAATCCCTTTATTTTCAGCTGAGAAGGATAGCCCTAGTTCGAAAGCACTTAATCGAAGAGACAGCAAAAACATTTGTAACATCTCTTATCCTATCTAGATTAGACTATAGTAACTCACTCCTAGCAGGTTTGAAAAACAAATATTTGAATCATTTACAAGTCATTCAAAACAATGCCCTTAGACTGATAACAAGATCTAAAAAACAAGACCATGTCACTCTACTATTAAAAGAACTGCATTGGCTCCCTGTAAAACAAAGACAATAATATTAAAAATCTGTGTCATGTGTTTCAAATGTGTAAATAAAACTGCTCCTTTTTATCTATAAGAACTTATCAGTACATATAAGCCAGGGAGAAACCTAAGATCATCAAACAATAACACCCTACTTGTGACATTCGTAAAATCATACAAATCATATGGAGAGAGATCTCTCTCATATATAGGTCCAATTATGTGGAACAGATTACCCATGGAACTAAGACAAACAAGAACACTTGATAGTTTCAAAAGACATCTTTAGATTTTTCTGTTCCTACAAGCCTATCCTTCATAAGCTTTTAGCGTTATTTTTATTATAGTTGTTTTGTGCCTACGTATGAATGAAAATAGTCTGTGTGTGTGTGTGTGTGTGTGTGTGTGTGTGTGTGTGTGTGTGTGTGTGTAAGAGTGTGTGTGTGTGTGTGCATAATATATATTGCATGAGAAGAAAGGAAGTGATAAAAAAGGTTTTGAAAATGGGTATTCCAATGTAAAGCACTGAACTACTTTTTTGAGAAATGGGCTATATAAATGTTATTATTATTATTATTATTATTATTATTATTATTTTTATTATCATATGTATGCAACAGAAGGTTCCGATAATATATAATATAGTGTAAAGCGCATAGAGCTTGCTTACGAGAGGGGATATGCGCTATACAAATGCTGTTTATCATTATTATTATTATCATTATTATTATTATGTTCAGTTAGGCAAACATTCGCTCACGTGTCAAATGAACCGGCAATAACAACAATTTGAATGTTTTAAGACACAGTGGAATCAGGCGCTCGTCAATTATGGGGCATATGCAGTTAGTGGTATCTTTTTATCATCTTAGCGCTTGTACATCTGTCTTGCTATTGAAAAAAAAATACTCATCCTTCTGGAACAAAAGTGATTAAAGGAGGCATGGGTCACCTGGTGTTAGAGATTAAATTAGCGAGAAAATGGCTGCCAAAGTTTTGTGATATCCAAAGCCTAAGCATCCTTAAAAACTGTAAATTTACGTGTTTTTGTACTTTTGATAAAGATTTTTCAGTAACATCTACACAGAAAGCTATTTACAGATGAACGTAAAAGGTGTTAAGCCTAAAAAGAAAATTTGGAGAAAAAAAATGCCCAATACAAAGAAAGATATCGGTTTCTTGATTTTATTATTTTGACGAGAGCCTGATTTCACCAAAACGCCTCAATTAAAGCTCTGAATCAAAGCTCTGAATTAAAGCTCTGAATTAAAGCTCTGAATTAAAGCTCTGAATTAAAGCTCTGAATTAAAGCTCCATGCGGTAGTAAAGCAGGGTGGTGGAGGACGCCACTGGTGGTAGGTCCTACTTCTTTACTTTCACTAGACTGTTTCTGTCTATCTGTCTTACTTTTTCCCAGCACTAAATGACCATTGTGTTGAAAGACAAGGATTGAACAGAGGTAGAAAGTATGTGCTCAGAAACAGAGATAGTGAGAGAACAGACGAAAGAGGAGGAGGGAGGAGATGACAGGGCTGTGATGGTAGAACTGAACTTTGTCAAGGAAAAGAGAGGCCCATGGTTCTATAAAATGAACACCTCTTTATTCTACGAAAACATTTACTCGGAAATTATAAGAAAATGTTATTGCCAAGACAACGGAAGAATATAATAAATGCCTGAACCCCAATCTCCGTAGGAAGATGATCAAAATTAAAGCAAAAGAAGTAAGCCAGCAGTACTCAAGATTTAAACATCGGGAGAGAAAAACTGACATAAGAAAGAGTACAGAAGCTCTGAACCAGCTACAGAAAGAGTACAGAAGATCTGGTCCAGCTACAGAAAGAGTTCTCCAGTTGACCTGAAGATTTAGAATCAAACAGAAAGGCTGACATCATCCTGAAGGAATTAAATTCGTTTAATAGAAGAAACAAGGGGTGCAAGTGTGAGAGCTGGGATTGGATGGATTGAAAACGGGGAGAAAGGAAACTGATTTTTCTTAAGGTTGGAAAGATGCACAGCAACAGGTAATATGTACAATTTATATATTCACATGTATTTTGCTTACGCGTATGGCCTACGTCATAGTGCATCATTGAGACTTTTTAGTAGCAAAACTTGTTACTAGAAATTAATTAATAGTTAACACATTTTTTGCACTAAAGGTTCTCAAAACATGCTTTCAATATATGCATAATATCGTGATTAGAAAAAAATTACGGACGTGCTTTTAAAAACGATATTGCCCCTGCTGTAAACTTTAAAAAATTTGTAGAAACCATCGAATGGGATTTTTAAAATTAGTCTTTATTAAGGAATTTTCTAGAACACCAAGTCAAAGTATTTGAAAAAATATTCATCAGTTAAGACAAATTGATGTAAGTCATTGTATAAAAGTTGTAGAATCTATGTTCAATAGTAAAGGAGATATTTGACAATAAGTTGTGCCAGGAATTCTGAACCTCACTATAGATGATTTACTTGAACATCAGTCGAGGCAGACACCTTGGTCTCTTTAAGCATTCTCATAAGGGGTGTCATCCTCTTTCTTGATTCCCTAGAGAGAGAGAGAGAGAAAGTTGTGGGGGGGGGGGGGGTGAGGTGGGGGTGGGGGTTGGGAGAGGAAGGGTAAAAGATCCGCGTTATCTTCTTTAACCTTTTCCATGGAAGAGTTAACGTTTTGATCTTAGTTCTTGGATCTCTGACAACAATCGAGGACCCCCCCCCCTCCAAAAAAAAGATACTGCTAGAATCGATGCCTAATGTTTTACTAAAGATGGTAATGGTAAATTACAAGATGGTTCACTCCTCTCTTTGAGCCTTTCATTAAAACAAGTGTCCTCAAAACCATGGTGGCACCCTCTGAAAAAAGCACCCACCGGCTGCCGTCAGACAATCTGATATACAACAACAACAAAAATGACAATCCTTGCCCCCTGCTCCCTGGGAAGGATGGACGGACGGACTGAAGGAAATACTGACCCACCAATTCAGCCCATTTTCTTTTCTTTTTTCTTTTTTCAACTTTTGTCTCGTGTCCCCGATTTTGGTGCCGATATTTGTGAGTTAGGTAAAAATTTGCCAACATGGTACAAATTGTTATGATTCAAGAAAAACAAAACAAGAAAAAGGGGATGTGATGATGATAATGATGATAATTCCAGCCTATTTTCTTAATACACAGTGCGGATTAACTGAAGCCCAAAAGCATCAACTGTACGTGTAATACTCCCTTTGGCCTCCTGTTTTTCTCCTCCTCCTCCTCCTCCTCCTCCTCCTCCTTCTCCTCCTCTAAAAAGTAGTCCCATTCAACAGTTAGTATAATAGTACCTCCTTTTCATCTCCTTTTTTACTCCTCCTCCTCATCTTCCTTGTCATCCTCCTCTTCCTAAACCTCGTCATCCTCATTCTCCTCCTCTTCCTTCTCCTCCACCTGTCGCTCCTCTTTCTCCTCCTCCTTCTCCTCCTCCTCCTCCTCAATAACAATATCATGCCCACCTGAATCCCACTCCCTGTACTGACCTCCACATTCACATAGCCCTCCTCCTCCTCCTCTTCCTACTCACTCTCCTCCTCCTCCATCTCTTCCTCCTCCTCCTCCTCCTCAATAACAATATCCTGCCCACCCCCATCCCCTAAATCCCCCTCCCTGTACTGACCTCCATGTTCACATAGCCCTCCTCCTCCTCCTCTTCCTCCTCATTCTCCTCTTCCTCCTCATTCTCCTCGTGCTCCTCCTCCTCCATAACAATATCATGCCCACCCCCACCCTCTGAATCCCCCTCCCTGTACTAACCTCCATGTTCACATAGCCCTCCGGCTCTGCAGAACCAGCCTGAGCATTCAGATACGAATCCTCCACGTCATCAGCTGAAGAGAGAAAAGAACAGGTTATGTGATCGGACGGCCTTTAGCGTCTTGTCTGACGATCTTAAAGAAGTATACATGATACAGTGGAACTCGGATTCAACGAAGTCGTCGGGCCTGCCATTCAATTTCGTTGAATCCAAGAGTTTGTTATTGCAAACTGGTGTTTTTTGTAATAGATAATTACATGCACCGAGCAAGTAGTGTTATAAAGAAAAATAACAAGTGGTATGCAACCCAAAAATGCCTACTCTTTTGCCTCTTTCCGACTTCCTCAATCAAAAGTAGATTGGTTTCAAATGAGAGGCATTTTCATTTCTTTGATGCCATACCGTAGAATGGCTGGAAAATTCCAGGAAAAGGCACTGAACATTACCAAGTACACACTGTGCCAAAGGGCTGATTCGTTCAAATGCAAGCCTGTTTCATCTATAATATACTGTTTGCCAAACAAGTTGTGTTGCTGAAGAAAGCCTAGCATATGGCAAAGTTTGATTCTTCAGACCAACAGGCAACTCATTTCGTAGATCTATGTCAAAACCAGCTTATCATTGTAATACAGTGTATTGATCAGTCGCCGGTGGGAGGGTGGGGGGTAGGGGGGTGTAGGGGGATAGGGGGGGTAGGGGGATAGGGGGGCGGGGTGGGATGGGTTGACCGACTCGTTTGTATCTCTACTGACATTCAATGCTCGGATCACTTGTGCAAACAGTCACACATGTGCTGGCCGCCCGTCTGACCCCGATGCATGTATTGGTATGAAAGAAGACCACTGATTGGTCACATAAAAGATATATACGATAGTCTAAGCAAAAAATGGTTCACGATTCAGCTGCCATGGATGATTTCCAGGAACAGATAAGGCTCGTTGCAGAAGGAAAATGAGTGAAGCCACGTCAGCAGAGACTGTTCACCCTGTAAGCGAATTCGTCGAATCCGAGCTTGCTCATTATGGGTTCGTTTGAACGGAGTTGTTCTTCTTGATTATAATGAACAAGAAAAATGGGGAATAAATCTCCTTTCGTTGAATCCAAGTTTTAGCTCAATCCGATTTCCAGTGTACAGCTTTGCCTGGGCTGTAGACGTAGGTGAGGCATCATGGTGAAATCAGGCGTTTGACAAAATAATGAAATCGAAGAAACAGGCATTTTTCCGCCAGTTTCACAATTTTTATGGAATTTTTGTTTTTTTGGCTCAACACCTTTCATATAAATAATATTAAAACACATTTCCACGTAAATTTTGCTGAAAAATTTTGATTAAAAGGTACAAAATATGTAATTTTGCAGTTTTCAAGGACTCTCAAGCTACTGAAGTTACCAAACTTTGGCAGTATTTTTTCGCTAATTTTACTACTGAAACCAGGTGACACCACCTTGTTCAATCGCAAATATCTCGACTTCCATTCAAGATATTTGGGCATATTTTTCTTGAAAGAAAGGCAAATGAACAAGCTTTCAGACGGTACCAAAAACTCATCATGCCCAATAATTGACGAGCGCTTGATTCCACTTCCTTGTGACACATTGTTAGAAGAAGTAGATCTTTATGTGGTAGACATAGAGGGAGTAGATCTTACAGCAGTATATGATACAGCCTTGTGTGGGCAGTTGATATAGTGGAAGTAGATCTTACAGCAGTATACAAGATATAGCTTTGTGTGGTTGAGGAAGTAGATCTTACAGCAGTACATGATACAGCCTTGCCTAGGCGGTAGACATAGAGGGAGTAGATCTTACAGCAGTATACATGATACAGCTTTGTGTGGGCAGTAGACATAGAGGAGGTAGATCTTACGTCAGTATACAAGATATATCTTTGTGTGGTTGAGGAAGTAGATCTTACAGCAGTACATGATACAGCCTTGCGTAGGCGGTAGACATAGAGGGAGTAGATCTTACAGCAGTATACATGATACAGCTTTGCCTAGTATATAAGAAGTAGATGTGGCTTTTGGTTTCTGTGTGTCCGTCTTGTTTTTCTTCTTGCACTAAATGACCTTTATTGTGCTGATGTGCATCTTTTTGTTAAAATCAGCTGACCCTGCTAATCTCAGCAATTTTACCATAAAACAGTTTCTTTTTCTGTTGAGGGGGGGCATATTCTTAGTAAGCAGAGCAATAAATACATTTTGTTTAAAAAAATAAAACAATTAAATATGGAAACACAGTCAACAACAGTTACGAATAAAATTACGATATAGTAAAATTTACCTACATTATTAGCATTGGCAAAAAGTGAGGCAAAATTAAGGGTTAATTCTATGAAGTAACAGATCTCTGCACTTTCATGAAGTGCTAGTAGTAGATGCCAATGCAAACAGAAAGTTGTCATGGATATTCACAGATACAGAACAAAAGGTAAATTTACAGGAAACACTCTTCATCCTCGATAAGGTGTGTGTGTGTGTGTGTGTGTGTGTATGTGTGTGTGTGTGTGTGTGTGTGTGTGTGTGTGTGTGTGAGAGATAGAGAGAGAGAGACAGAGAGAGAGAGAGAGAGAGAGAGAGAGAGAGAGAGGGAGAGAGAGGGAGAGAGAGGGAGAGAGAGAGAGAGAGAGAGAGAGAAAGAGAGAGAGAGAGAGAGAGAGAGAGAGAGAGAGAGAGAGAGAGAGAGAGAGAGAGAGAGAGAGAGAGAGAGAGAGAGAGAGAGAGAGGGGGGGTATATGTATGTGTGTTAGTTCAGTTTAGTTTAGTAAAGATTTTTATGACACCAGAAAAGATATAAATATAAATAGATAGAATATGGATGGAATGGACAGACAGACAGACAGATAGATAGATAGATAGAAGTGCAGGAGATCATTCAGACCATGCTATGGCATTCCTTCCAAGATGATAACAGTCAGGGAGCTTATCTGACCTACTTCCATATGGCTTGACCTTTTCGGTAAGTTCCTGCGTCTGTCGCCACCACGCTAAAAAGTCTATCCATATCCAGGGATGTACGTTTGATATCAATTATAGCAATATATTTCTGCACAGATCTACAGATTGAACTCACCCTGGGAATTTTCCCTTTCGGGTAACAGGCTTGTGTAAGGATCTGAAAAGAAAGAGAGAAGCCATCTTAGTCGTCACCATCTCTCTCTCTCTCTCTCTCTCTCTCTCTCTCTCTCTCTCTCTCTCTCTCTCTCTCTCTCTCTCTCTCTCTCTCTCTCTCTCTCTCTCTCTCTCTACCTCTCTCTCCCTCTCTCTCTCTGCTTCTTTCACCCTGGTACTAGCAACAGGCAGCCAGGAAAAGTTATTAATCCACTAAGTAGTCTCGAACGCCGAACTTTTTGCAATCGATATGCAGAATCCCTGGATTGACAGCAAAAATCGTACACAACAACGAGATGATTCACTAAGCCAAAAACATGTCAGTGGAAGTCCGCGTATTGCTTCTGACAGCGCTGTAGTCACTGTTTTGAAGCTCTCTTTTGTTTCTCCAGAAGAAGAATAGGAATAGCACTCCCTTGCGCGCGGATCGTTTTCTGGTGTTGGACAATTTTAAAAGAATTTTCTTTTTAAAAAAAAGTTTAGTATGGGGTTTTGCGGCGCTCGCAACTGCATAAGGTCATATGAGCGCGCGAGACTTTTCTTTAAAATTTAAAAAAAAAATGTTTTTTGCTCAACGTCATTTATGTCCATTTAAAAGTATAGTTAGGTGTGGATTTTACTGAGAAATAAAAACTCGTTGCTCAAAGGGGCACAAAATCAGTAAATTTGCTGTTTCCAAGGACACTCAAGCTTTGGAAGTCACCAAACTTTGGCGGCCATTTTCTGACGTATTTTACCTCTGACACCAGACAACTCTGACTTCCTTCAACTGCAATAAATATCTCATCTCCTATTCGAGATATGTGCGAATTTATTTTCATAGAAAGCGAGAAAAGCAGACTTTAAGATGATATCAATAACTCCATATGCCCCAAAAACTGACGGAGGGCCTGACTCTGCTGTGTCCTGCCACAAATATCTGTTCAAGAATTTGAGAGCAGAATGAGAGGAAAGTCTCCACACTGGTGGTGCAGCTGTGAAAGACAGGAAGTGAATGATCCTGGTTCAAATCCTCAAAAGGATGTTCTGCAACTGGGGCTTACAAAGCTTGAGTGTCATAAAAGGTGCTGAGACAAAAAAAGAAAAAAAAATTGCTCAAAGGTAATAAAAATGTCTCTTTCTTTGATTTCAATATATTGTGACGAGCGCCCGATTTTACCACGATGCCTCACAAATTCGAACCCTCGGGGCCTCTGTATCCGTCGAAACTTCTCTTCCACTCTGAGTGAGTCCCTGCTGCCCTACTGCCACATCCCCACTTACAAATCACCCTCCTTTTTTTTTAGTGAGGTGTTACGCGCTCGCAACTGCATAAGGTCATATGAGCGGCAAGGGGTGGATGTCAACAGACAAGTCCAAACAAGGAATCAGGCTTACTCTGCTCACCTCTCTCGTTACATGTTTTGAGTAGCAAGTATTCATGTGAAAAAAGTGTTTCTGCTAAAAATTGACAATTTTTCCGTATTAATGAGCCATTACTATAAAAATAAATACAATCACATAAGTCAAGATTTCTCAGAAAGTATTTACTCTACTACCCTGGTTTTTTGCATTGATGTAGATGAAACCTATATTATCTATGCTTAGTAGCAAAATCATTGCAATCTGGAGGGAACTTTATTTTTAACAAATTTTTTTCTTGTATCATAATGCAGAAATTATGGGGGTTTTGAGGCAGCGTGGTGAAACCAGGCGCTCGTCAAAATAGTTAAAGAGAAGAAATTGGCTTTTTTCTGCAGGTTTGTGAATTTTTAAATAGAATTTTTGTTTTTTGGCTCAACACCATCCATGCCCATTAAGGAACACATTTCTGTGTGGATTCTACTGAAAAACGTTGATTAAAAGCACAAAAACTGTAAATTTTCATTTTTCACGGACTCTCAAGGTAAGGAAATAACTCATCTTTGGCGGCCATTTTCTCACTTATTTTACCTCTAAAACCAGGTGACCCCAACCTCCCTCATTCGCAAATATCTCAACTTCTATTCAAGATAAATGGATATTTTTTTCATCCAAAGGAAGACAAATGAACAAGCTTTAAGATGATAGCAATAACTCTACATGCGCAAAAATTTACGAGAGCCTGATTCCACCGAACTGCATTGTGACACAAATACTGATTATGGGTCAAAACTTTGATAAATTTGCTTAGATTCTGTCAAGTTTGCTACAGAGTCATCCAAATGTATTAAACCGACAGCCTCCTCTCAAGTTTGCTACAAAGTCAGCCAAATATATTAAATCGATAGCCTCCTCTCAAGTTTTCTGCAGTCATCCAAATGTGTTAAACTGACTGCCTCCTCTCAAGTTTGCTACAAAGTCATCCTAATGTATTAAACCGACAGCCTCCTCTCAAGTTTGCTACAAAGTCATCCAAATGTGTTAAACTGACAGCCTCCCACCCAAGCACTCACGCCTACGTTAATTTTGACAATAGTTTTTTAATTTATAAAAATTACTAAGGCATTGTGGTGTTCTTTAGGATAGAATCTACAAGGAACGAGAAAGAGAGTGAAGCCTTAAAGTACTAAGAAGAGGGACTTAGATTCAGACCTAAAAAAAAAAAAAGAAAAAAAAAGAGAGATGGGATACAGCCGAGCACAGGTGGAGACTATAGCCCAAGATAGGAGAAGATAGAGAGCTCTTGCTAGTGGCCTTTACTCCAGCATGAGATGAGGAAGGATGCTGCTGCTGCTGCTGCTGCTGCTGCTGCTGCTGCTGCTGACGATGATGATGATGATAAGGACGATGATGAAAATGACAATAATGATGATGATGATTACTGTGAAGTTCACAAAAGGCTAGGAAAGTTCACACAGTAAGCCATTTTACCGGAAACAAAAGCGACACTATCTGGGGCCGGAAACACATCATAAGCTCCAGCAGGGTCTATGATCCGAACTTGACCTTCCTGCCCCGCCCTTGACCTTGGTTCAGAGGCAGAAACATTATTATAGGGGTTGGTGTCAGTGTTTGCCTGCGGAACCTCAGGTGTGACGATTTCTGCCTCAGCGCTCATGATCAGGACGTGGGTGTGAATGTCGCTCGCCGGCATGGATGTTGCATCGTTGTATGGATGTTCATATTCGTGGTCTGTGGGAAAAGAACCAAAAACAATAGCGAGAAACTGAATTAATTCTCAACCCCCACCGTTATCCAAAGCCTGACACATGCACACAAGCCCACATGCATGCACACACGCACACACACACGCACGCAAGCAGACACACACACACACGTGCACGCACACACGAACGCACGCACACTCACACACGCACATATGCATGCACGAACTAAAAATGGATGTATGCTCTCCTCTCACATCAACACTGTTTTTTTTTTAAAGAAATGATTCGACTCAGCTAGAACACTGTCTACCAGGGCTGTCACATTCTGGCTATGTTTCTAGCTTGATAAATAATTATGAAACGTGCTCACAAACAAACACAAAACCTCTGTGAGAATTAGTGGTGCAATTGATCGATCAAATTTTTCGATTAACCGAGCAAGATTCTTGGTCGAGTAAATCGACCAAAATGGTTTCTTGACCGAGCAAGACATCAATCAAACGCCAAAATTAATTGTCGCTATCAAACAAACGCGAAACCCATATTTTGTCATTGCATCGTTTTGAAAACCAGCAAACTTCAAACTTTTAACAAAATGCAATAAGCATTTACGATTTCATAAAATGTATGTTTATCATGATAGTAGAATCTGTTTTAATTATCCAGTATAAAAACCTGTATCATTTTCAGTTTTTGACGGTTGTGTTTTTGTGTTCGCCATTTAGGCTTTCCCGAGGATGGTGCTCCTGGGTAACACTCAAACAGGCAATCAGATATATGAAACTTACTCGAACAAACATCAATCAAACGCCAAAACTGATTGTCACTATCAAACAAACGCGAAACGTAATATTTATCTTTGCCTCATTTTTAGATACGGCAAACTTCTAGCTTTAAAAAGAGTGAAATAACAGTTATAATTCTGTAAGATATATTTTTAATATAATAGTAGAACTGGGAGCTCATTATTCAGTACAAAAGCTAGTATCCTTTTCAATTGTTGACGGTCGCGGTTTTGTGTTCGTTTAGGCTTTTGGGATAATGGTGCTCCTGGCTCCTGGGTAAACCTCAAACTGGCAATGATGAAATTTGTTCGAACAAACAGCAATCAAACGCTAAAATTACTTGTTGCTGACAAACAAATGCCAAACATATTTTAAAGTCATATTATTAGTCAAAATAGAATAAAGTCGTATATTCTAATTAGGAAATAGCTGCCCAAGAGTATATTTACTATCAGATACACAATTGGGAATCTTGTTGAATGTCAAACCCAGCAGCCACTCTTTATTTTTAGACTGTCGCGGTTTTTTAACTGCACTGAGGGTAAAAGACATTGAAATGGCTGTGCTCCTGGAAAACCAACAACTTGGCAAATGTCTCGCGCCACCAGCACGAAAGCGAGACAAGTGTGTCAACTTATCAATATTCATAACGGAACATTTTATTTTTAGATCTAGCCAGGTTTAATATGAGGGTCTTTTCGTTGATAAGCGTATGCGCGAGCTTTTCGCGCTAGGTCGCTCTCTTCCAAAAGCATCTTTGGTACCATTTTCTAAATGATTTACTGACAGTACAGCAACAACAATATAAAAACGTATTAAAACCCGTAAACCCAGGCCCCTCCAACATGCCAGCAGCAGAATCGTAGGCTTACTAGATCTACGTCTGGCCCTACATGACCTTGAAACGCATCGTCTGTAGGCTAGATCTAGTGTTGTTGTTGTTCTCACTTTGTCCGATCAGCTGATTTATATCATGCAAACCAGTGACCCACTGGCATCTATACAAACCAAGTCTTTATTTCAGTTCCTCTTCATTTCTCTCTGCTCTCATTCTGACCTCTTAAGCCAGAATATTTCGTCCGATCTAGACTTGTTCACATTCTCAATCTTAGTAATTTGGATGCTTTCCTCTTTTTACTTAATTTCAACGCTTCCACTTTGATCTGCAACTTGTTATTCTGTATTACTGTGCTGATTTTTGTTTCTATGCCTAGATCTTTACTTTTCTTGAAAAACACATTTAATAAATACCAGCACAATGAATTAGCCTAACCTATTAATAAAATATGCTCGATCTGGGCTGGAAACTGAGCGAAGAAACAAAAAAAAGGAGGTAAGATTGAAGAATAGGCCTACCGGACCAGCGGATTCGGACAACTTTTGCCTATATCTATGTCTCGACAACCTTAGGAATTCATGATTTTCCCCAGTTTTTATCCACTTTTAATCCCTCTCACACAGGTAGGCCTAGCTTCCCCCCCCCCCCCCCCCATTCTCTCGCAATAATACGAGTGGTCCAGTATTCTTCAATTTTCCCGAAAGGAGCAATCAAAATACATGTTAAACAAATTAACTAACTTTGCACGCATCTTCTCGATATATTTGACTCTTATTTTTATACCGCGCGAAGTGACGAAGACCAAAAGCTAGGCTATTTTTAGATCCAGACATCAGCTGAAAAATGCGTGCTTACAGCGCAGCTGCGATGACTTTTGACCCCTGCTCGATCTAGATTTCTTGGTCGAGAAAATTTTTTCGGTCAATTTCATCGGTTAACCGAACAATTTTGCATTTAACCGATCATTACTCGACCAAGATTTTTCGCTTACTCGCACACCACTAGTGAGAATGAGTAGTAACGGAAGTTGTTTATTTATGTACAAGAGGGTCACGCTACGACATAGATGCGTTACAATACGGTCCAAGATATTGATGTACACTCATGACAAAGGCCAACCTACCAGTGGAGAGAGACGGTGAAGCAATGGTGATTTCCGCCACAGCACTCATGATCGGGATATGGGTGTGAATGCTGCTCGCCGGCATTTCATCTATTTCGTTATAGGGATTTTCATATTCGTGGCCTGTGGGCAAAGAACCAAAAACAATAGCGAGAAATTTAATTAGATCTCTACCCCCACCCTCAACCCCAGCCTCACACATGCACACAAACACACACGCACACATGCACACATGCATGCACACACAGATGCACGCATGCAAGCACGCACATATGCACAAACTAAAATGGTCTCCTCTCACATCAACACGGTTTTCTTTGTTTGGAAATGATATGACTCTGCTACAACACTGTCTGCCAGGGCCAACCTACCAGAGGAGAGAGACGCCGAAGCAATGGAATTAAAATAAATGTCCCCCGTGCTGATATCAAACCCAGATCTTTTGCACGAACTAGCAAAGCACCTAAAATGTTTACATTAAAGACATTTGCTTAGCAAAATGTTTCAATTTCGTAAGGAGTAAGTAATAGTTTAATATGATTCCTCCTTATTTGTCGGAAAATGACAAATGCATCTGCAGAGGAGAATATAATTTTTTTAGTGAAATTGAAGAAATGAGGATTCAGATGACTCACGGCTTTTGCTATAGCTAGGGAAACCGATTCTGGCACAGAAGAGTTCGTCCCATTTTGAACATTTAGGAGCTTAATTTCTACTACCAGGTAAAGCTGAAGTCATCTGTACACAAGGTCAATCATTTATTAACATGCTGCATGGTTCAGGTTTTTTAAAATCTTTACCTGTATTTTTTTAGTACTGTTTACAAATTTTAAAACTGTTTAAGCCACCCCCCCAAAAAAACAACAACAACAAACAAACAACCCCATTATTTCTTTTGAGTGCTATTTACAAGTTCTAAGAAATTGTTCTATTGATATTTCTACCCTTTTATGGTTTTAATTTTACACCTCAAAAGTGGACAGGCTATAAATAATTTTTTAAATTCGGCTGACTTTGTGAGGGTGGTGACACAATTAAGATAATCTAGGATGCCGGCTGCTTTGGTCACACTAGTATGATTTCCAGGAAGAAGAGATGTTTTCAGAATGCTATCAGGTCTTGCAGTTGAGCAGGAATTTGCACAATACAAATGCTATCTATTATTATTATTAACGGCTAAACCCGGTTGAGAGGGACACATTGTCCTAGAAGGAAGACAGAGATACCTGTGTACCCTGGTTTTGATCTGGTCGGTTCTGTGTCTAAAAGATGTTTTTTTTTTTTCATTGAATACATTTCAGTGAGTGCAACAACACAAACCACAGTTATGTCAACACTGCGGTCATTTTTTAAAGTACGGTACATGTGAGGCATCGTGGTGAAATCAGGTGCTAGCCTACATAATAGTGAAATTGAAGAAAAAGGCATTTTTCCGCCAGTTTGGCAATTGTTATCGAATTTTTGCTTTTCCTCTCAACCCCTTTTATGTCCTCGTTTCCACGCATATTTTTACTGAAAAACGTTAATTAAAGGCACAAAATATGTGATTTTTTTCAGTTTTCACGGACTCTGAAGCTATTGAAGTAACCAAACTTTGGCGGCCATTTCCTTGTTAATTTTATCTCTGAAACCAGGCCACCTCACCTCCTTCAATCACAAATATCTTGACTTTTGTTCAAGATAGACGGGCATTTTCTTTGGTGAAAGCGAGGCAAGAATAAGCTAATACATGATACCAATAATTCCACATGCCCAAAAATTGACAAGCACCTGATTCCACCACGTCATGACACATATGCAGTCTCTACAATTTTACAGAAGGGCCAAAAACCTGAATATTGTTACCAAGAAAACAAACTCTTTGCAAACATCCCTAGTCAACATTTTTGAAAATATAATTTGGAAAATAACTTCCTTATTATCTTCAAAGCAAATGTTGTTTTCATGGTAACAACATTCAGGTTTTGTCTCTCCCAAAGAGATTATATACAGTACTATTTATTAGCTCTTTGAGCTCTCCTGTAAAATTGTACAAACTGCCTATACCGTATTTTTTAAAATGACGGCAAGACAGAGACCAAATGAAAGCAAGACAAATCCCCCACCTGAACTGTTGCCCGTCTCAGTCGGTTGACCTATGACCCGCCGTGGGTCATCTACTGGTTCCATGACCAATGCCGCATCCCTGGGATTAGTGGACGGGTCATCTTGGGAGAGCCTGTCTGAATGCCGGCATGTGGGAAAGAATACTGAGTAATTTTGTTTGTTTTCGCTGAAATTAAATATCCTATAGCGCACTCTGCTGGGCTTTGAAGTTTTCAACTATCATTGGCATGCTGTTGGAAGGTTTTAAGCCAAGAAAGCAATATTTTTCGAGGGAAAAGAGACTCTTTTGTTTTTTCGAAAATTCTTCCAACACTTCCAAAGTTCTTTTTGTTTTTGTTTAGTTTGTTTTTTCTGTTCAGCTGGAGTCTGACTGTGTTTGTGACAGAGACGTTATTCACATAATATGTTCTTTGGGGTTTGTTTTTTTGTTCGCTTGTTTGTTTGTTGTTGTTGCTTTTTGGGGGGAGATGGTGGTGTCATGTAATTTAGATCATAAGAAGAGCAAAAGTAAACTCTTTGCTTATATTTGCATTCCAAAAGTCTAAATGCCGTAGTTCTGATTTGTGAACGGGTATTGCTAGAGTGTGTGGTCTCAATGAGATTAAAAGCAAAAAAACCAACAGCAGTAGCAGCAACAACGATTTACTACAACATCACCAACAATAACAATGACTACAACTACGACAACACCTTTCACAATAGTAACAAACAAACAAACAAACACGCTTTGGTTTCAGTAAACCACATTTTCAGACCAAACAACAATATTTTTAACTCTCTGAGTTTGGGCTGATAGACCAACACTCACATGCTATTGGATTACCAAAAACAGCAACAACAACAACAACAACAACAATAGCATCATAAACAACAGCAACAACAACAACAACAACAACATCAACAATAACAACTTCAACAGCAACAACATCAACAACAACATCAACAACAACAATTGGAACAACAACAACATCAACAACAACAGCAACAACAAAAACAACATCAACAACAGCAGCTGGAACAACAACAAAATCAACATCATCATCTCTTTGACTCACCAGCGGCTCTGTCATTTCTCCTTCTCCTCCTCAGAAAGATGACCACGACAGCAGCGACAATGATGATGAAGAGGATGACAATGACAACAACAACAATAATGACGGTGAGGGTGCTGTCTTCAGAATCACTTAATGCTTCCGCTCCAGAGGCTGGGGGCGGACAGAATAGTTTATGTGGGGGTG